ATGCCTTTTATTGATCAATGAACATTATTACAAAGACTCAATTCTACAATAATTGATTGGCTCTAAGGCACCTACTCTAACAACCTAGCCCTTACCGAAAAACCAAACTTCACTCAAACCACCTCCATCAACCCAGTCAAGTAGAGTGAGACGAGCCGAATGGGAAGCCTACACAAATCGACTCCATCTTCTGACCTCCCCAAACCCAGAAAACCCAAAAAACCCAGAATCTCCAAACGCAGACCATGCCAAATTGATCCTAAACACACAAAATCTCCTAAACAGCAAACCAAAGAATCAAAATCATTCAGTTTGCCTGCCCCATTCAAGTCAAAAAAACACAATGCCTTCTTTTCAAACTCCCCTAAAAAATCTACCAAACCTCACCCAAATTCCTTCAAAAGTACCGTAAACACAAGGAAAGGATGAAAAGAAATGAAAAAAAAAAACAAGGAAGCAAGTATTTACCATGAAAATGGCCAAAGTTACCGAAATCTTTCATTGCTGCAGAGAAAAACTGAAATAGAGAGAAAACATGAAGACAGAAGAGAGAAATGAAGAATAAAATGAAATGAATAGTCGCCTCCACACTTTTATCGACGAAAGTTGTCAAAGCTCACGCGTGGGAACCTTTGATTGGTCATCAAACAGTGTGATTTCATTTTCCCGCCCAAACTCAGAAGAGACATATCGATCGTACATGTGTCGAGAGAGGGATTATTCAGCTTCACGTTACCTACTCAGGGTTCGCAACTGCCACGTCATGCATACACCATGGAGATGCTAACCACTCACTCAGTTCGCCCAACCGAGTGGAGTTAGTATCGGACATACTGACTATTTAACCTCAGCTCTCCGACCTCGTGGCAAAAGCCGCCAAAGCAAAACACAACCTCCACCCTCTCGGTCATCCCAACCGAGCGAACTAACCACTTGTTTGGGAGTGCGCATACACCTACTCATTCGAATTCAACCAATCGGCTGAAGGCACCACCATCAAAATGACCCTAACGTATTCCACTCGGTGCAATACACCGAGTACTGACACCTTCATGGGATAGTTTACACATACTCTCACTCGGCTCGATGTACCAAGCGAAGACACCTTCATGGGATAGTTTGCACATACTCTCACTTGGCTCGATACACCAAGTGAGGACACCTTCATGGGACGTTTCACATATCTTCCCACTTGGTTTGACGTACAGAGTGAGGACACTTCTAGTAGATTCTTTCATGTTTTCCTTCGATTCGATGCACCAATGAGGCCATCAAGGTCAACTCCACTCCCTCATTCGGTCAGATGTGTTGAATGAAGGCATGTTTGTGTTTCACCTCTACCCACCCACTCGGTCTGGTGTATCAAATGCATCACCTACAATAAAAGCTGTACTATTTGGTTCTGCGAACAAAGAAGCAACACATTCACATATTCAACCAGTTGGTCACGAAGGATGACTAAGCACACCTCCACGCAACATCTACTTTCTAAGCTAAGCACTCCCTAACTTAGAGAGTGGGGGGCAAACTGTTAGGGCAAAAAATGTCCTGGCCCAAATAGGCCTAAAGACGAAAACACCTTCAATAAAGCCTAGAGCCATGGCCCAATTCCAATTGGGCTCGCAATAGAGTTTGTATATTAGGTTCGCTCACCACATCTACCCTGTTGCTCACTGCTTGAGCCCAATCGGTAAAGGCCCCAAGTCGTTTGGGCCTCATCATCAGCTTGTTTGGCCCCAAGCCCTTTGATCCAAGATCACCTATGGGACCTAGGGTTTATTTAGACCCCAAGGTTGTCTATTTCTTATTTCGGCACTATTCGGATTCTACCGAAGGGATCCATTACTATCCTAATTCGTCTAAGATCCGTATCTTAGACCAATTAGGGCTCCCTTTCCTACTAAGGCTAGGGAATCAAAAGCCTTCCTATTCACTAAACCTGTCAACCTCCAAGGACTCATAGTCCTTCTAGGACTCAAAGATCCTACGGTTGCTATTTAAACAGAGGCCAACCCTCTCACAAGGGGGACACATTACACCTTCTAAACCTGTAGATCTCACTCTTGGGAACCTCATATCACTCCCGTAGTTGTAATCTTTGACTAGGCTCCTGGTAACTTCTCTTTCCCTAACCCTCACTAAATAAGCCCCATTCAGCCTTGCTGACTTGAGCGTCGGAGTGCCTATGGCAAACGCCACCTCGATGTTTTCTGTTCACTTCATGCTTGTTTCCTCGTGTACAGGTATAGTGGATTGCTAGTGGCCTCAACCTCACGAGATCAGACCCTACTTCCGTCAAGGTAGATTTTTTGCATCTACAGAAATAAACGATATAAAAAAAAAATTAAAGAGAACAAAATAAAATACAATTATTTATAATATGATAGATTTTGTCAATAAAATCCAAAAACTAAAATTTTATATTAGAATAATTAATTTTTTTAAAAGAACAAAAAATGTGATTACAAAAAGCTATCAAGTGGAGAGGTGTCATTCTTGTAGCTATCCAACCAAAATTTATTCATTTTTTAAAATAAGCATACTCAAAATTAGAGTGCTTACCATCATTACATTTTTATTTTTGGAAATTATCATGTTATTACAATGGAAATATTTAGAATTTTTTATTTTTATTTTTATTTCCAATTTCATTTTCTAATTTTTTTCATTTAGAAATCATTTGTATTATTTGTTCATAGATTTTTGTTTTTAAAATTTCGAAACGGCAAAAATGCTTGGTACTTTTAGTATTTTTGCTCTAATGGCAAATACCGTTTTCAAAAAATGAAAACGAATTTATTTTTTAAATTTTGAGAACACAAAATCAAAATTTTTCATTTTTATTTAAATTTTTAAAAATAAAATATCAATTACAATATTAATTATATGGTTCACATATGATTAATTATCTCACTATAGAATCATACAAAAACCCAATTACCTCATTAAAATTATTATTTTATCAGTTACATATTATATATTGAGTAATATTGCTCTTACAACCCAATCTCACAACCCTCTCTTACAGCCCCAAAGTGGCAATTGAGTTAGTAACTGCCACATCAACTCCAACCACACTCAAAGCACTAAATGATTTTGACTAAATACGAACAGTTGTTTCTTAGGGACGAACGACCGTTTCTTCATAAGGAACAAATGTTTCTTCATAAGGAATAGTTGTTTCTTCATAAGAAATGATCGTTCCTTTATAAGGAATGATTATTCCTTATGAATGGAATAGTTGTTCCTTATGAATGAACAATCATTCGTTCCCAAGGAATGCTCGTCTGTATTTAGTCAAAATTGTCAGTTGATGTGATAGTGCAACTTTGCCGCTGCATTAGGGTTGTAAGAAAAAGTTGTGAGATTGTGTTGTAAATGTACTATTTTTGTTATATATTACTAATGAATTGTTTATATATTAAAAGATGAATTTGTTACTACAATAAAACCTCTCTATAGTCATAATGGTGAGACTAATTAATTTTATTACTATGAGGAGGTTATAATTTAATAGAGGTATAGTTACAAAAATTTCTTATTTTATAATTCATGTTTTAATAATATTAAAATTTCAATTCAGCACTTCAATTGCCTACTTTTTAAATAAATAGAAAATTGTGTCTTGAAACCAATAAAGATAAGTGTCCTTGATGGAATTGTAAACACAGTTGTTGCATGGTTAAACTGATGTGAAACCACATACAATTGCTAATTGTTTTAAGCATTACAAAATTAGGACCGTTGATTTCGATGAATCGTAAGTTATAAATAAACTGGATGAGAAAAATCAAAGAGTCATTGTAAAATTGAGTGATCAGATTTGATAACTTCACTGCACTAATCGAATAGATATTAATGTCTTCCTCAATGATTCAAATGAGCAACAAGTCATGTATGCTTTAACTGAGGAAGAAATCATTGCTACAATTACACAAGAAGAGAAATGAAATAATCATGAGGATGATAGTACGGAAATACAAAAAGTTTCGTGCCAAGGAACTCCAAACATGCTTGAGAAGCTACAAATATTTTGGCTTCAACAAGAAGATGTCCATGTTAGCAAGTAATATACCTGCAAGTTAAAAGATGTGATAACAACTCTAAAAAATAAATTATTCTCCCAAACAACTTTAGATAAATATTTTATTTTATCTTAAACCTTTAATGTAACAAATAATATTTTTTTTTTGTAATATACACATAATTATTACTATGTGAAGGGAACTTTTCTTAAGACGTAAATTAGAAAAATTATAACTTACTATAATATGGAGTTTATTCTTATTTATAACTATCCCAAGTTGGGAATAAATTTTTTTATGACTATTTAAAGTTTATTATTTTATAGAGTATCACTATAGAGAGGTTTTACTGTTGCAATACTGCAATACTGCAACGCCCCGCACCACGGCCGCACCACAGCCGCACTCTTCCCTCTTCGCCGCCATCCACTCATCTGCAGCGTCCACCACGAAACTTTAGGGCTATTTGTAAAATTTATCAAAACATTCATCTCTTAAACGCATTTGCAATTGCATTTTGCATTGTCCCTGCCTTAAAGAAACCTTGACAGAACCCACAAAAAAGCCCTCTTCAATCCATGGCTTTGAGAGCCCCATTTCGTTCGTCTTCGTTGTCTCAAATGCCATCTCTGAAAGGTAATGTTTCATATTTATTAACTCCCTTGTAGAACCTCACAACTTCAAGCCCCAAAAATGAACTTTTATATTCTTTCAAAAAAAACCCCTAAAAAAATCTCACTTGCTAAGTTCCTTGAAGAAAATTGTCGATCAGGTAACTTCACATTCAGTGAAGCTCTTTACTTTTTGGATTACATGATTCATTCCCAACCTATTTCTCTAATGTCATCCTTCAACATATTGTTTTGTGCACTTGAAAAGAAGAAGCATTATTATGAAGTGATTTCGCTTTATAAGGGGTTGAATTCAACGGGGTTGTCTCCAGATTTAATGAGTTTGAACATTTTGATTAATTGCATGTCTAATATCAAAAGGGTTTTGGATGGTTTTGCGGTGTTTGGGGGGATTTTGAAGAAGGGTTTCAGCCCTGATGTTGTGACTTTTACTTGTTTGATTAAAGGTCTGTGTGTAGAGAAAAAGATTGTGGAGTCAAGGGAGTTGTTTAAGAAAATGGTTGCTGTTGGTTGTAGGCCTAATGTGATCACTTACAACACTCTAATCCATGGTTTGTGTTGTGTGGTTGATTGGGAGGAGGGTAAAAGTTTATTTATATTGATGATGGATCAAGGTGTGCGGCCTTCTGTGGTGACTTTTAATGTGGTCATACATAAATGTTGCAAGAAAGGGAAATTGGATAGAGCAAATAGGTTGTTAGAATTGATGATTCAAAGAGGTGTGAATCCCGACCTTTATACTTACAATATTCTAATGAATTGTTATTGCTTGGCAGATAGAATTGGTGATGCAAGGGAGTTGTTTGACTCTATAACTAGAAAGGGGTATAGACCTAATGTTGTTTGCTACAATACTTTAATTAATAGGTATTGCAAGAATAAAGAAGTCAATAAAGCTCTTTATCTTGGTCAGAAGATGATTTCTGAAGGAATTAGGCCCGATGTGATTACATATAACACTTTGTTAACCGGCCTTTTTCTTAAAGGTAATGTAAAAGATGCACGAAATTTAGTTGGTGAGATGCGACTTAATAGTGCTTTTCCTAATTTAAGGACATATAACATTTTCATTTATGGACTTTGCAAGAATGGTTGTGTTTTGAAAGCAGTGGAAGTGTTTAATACTTTAGTAGATAATAAGTGTGCAGTTGGCATTGAAAGCTTGAACTCCCTCATCGATGGATTGTGTAAAACAGGGAGACTCAAAACTACTGGGGAGCTATCTCAGAAATTTTCTCTTCATGAAAACCTAGTGCCGAACACTGTAACATATAGCATTTTGATTGATGGGCTTTGTAAAACTGGACAACTAGAAAAGGCAAATGAGTTGTTGTCACATATGGAGGAAAAAGGTTGTACTCCAAAAATATTCACATTTACTCCGCTTATGTTCAGTTTCCTCAAGAATAATGAGTTATTAAAAGTTGTTGAACTCCTTCATAAGATGGCAGAGACAAATGTTAGGCCAAATAAACATACAATGTCCTTAGTCATGTAGTTACTCATGAAGGAAAAAAACTATTGTGAATGTTTGAACCTGCTTCCTTCATTTCCCCCCCAAAAGCCAATTTGAAGTTTTCATGATAATTGAGTGGTTCACTTTTTCAGAGCAGTATCCTTATCAGGAGAGCATTATTTGATAGCATTGGAATATGAAACTGCAAAAGCTTCATCTAGCTGCTCAACTGCTCTATCTTTGTTAACATACGAAGAATACAGTTGACACAACAACATTGCTGTCAAGAGAAATGTGGTCTGACGTCACACATGCAGTTGTTGTAACGATGATCCATGAAGATTTGGTTGATATGGGATTTCAAACTGTCATTGGGAACTATGAAGCAGCATGGTCTAAAAATGGACTTGGGTAAGACCCCCTTTATCTAATAAAACAGTGTTACCTTTTTAAACCTTGAAGGACAAGGTCTAGTGCTAGCCATTTTCCATTAATAAGCTGTTAACTATGCTATAAGTCTAATAAAAATGGACTTGAAGTCTGATGAGAAAGATTGTATGTATATTTTAATTATCATGTCTTCTGTGAGCTTGTTCTGTGTATGCTCAAGTGTGTGCTTGTTAATTCAGGGGCTATACATGAAACTGTTAGATTTATCAAAAGTTAGATCAAGTTTACTTGATTCAATTAGCAATGCTAGATATAGCACTTGCTTTTGTTATTTTGTTAGTGAAGAAAAACTGTTGTGCTGTTATTCTGAAATTTTGTAGCTTCTTCACATCCTCTTATCTATTTCATATCACTGGACATTTACATAAGATGACTTACTTTTCATCAGCTAACTCATGGAAAATTTTTGTTTGTATTCCTGATTTCTGATGCAGTTGTTGTCCTAAATTCTTTCTATTAGGTCTGGTTTAACATACCGCCTCATTGGGTGGGTTCAGATCCTTGTGGAGACTATTGGGAAGGAATTGGCTGTGTCAATTCACGTGTGACCTCATGTAAGTTCTTTACCACTTCTTTTTGATATGTTAATGCTAATGGAAGGTTGATTATTCTACCTTTTCAAGCTATCTATTTTCCACTTTAGAACATCATCAGGTGTCGGATTGAGGGTTACTTTGTCAAAAGATATCTCAAACTTATAAGAACTTCATGTTCTGTAAGTCATCTATCTTAACCTGCATTTTAGTGCTTCTAAATTCTATGGCTCTTTGATGCTGTTGTCATATATTTGATAATGAAATCTTTACTTAGGGATTTATACTACAACAAACTTAAAGGAAATCTTCCAGCATCCATTGGGAATTTGAAGAAATTATCGTACTTGTAAATAGATATATTCTTTGTCAAAGCATTAGTTGACAACAAACTTCCACTGTTAGAATCCTCATAAAAATCATGTTTGGCTTATTTTTTATGCTAGATTACTATCAGGTTGTCAATTCTTGAGTCTATTGGACCTACATGGTAGATGGCCTTTCTGTAAGAATTCTTTCACTTCTTGTGTCATTGAAGATTTCAGTTCTATGTTTGTGCCAGCTAGGAAAAGTAACAAGATCTTCTCATTGCTGCTGCATGCAGATCTTTGAGTTCCAATATATTCAGTCGACCGATCCCGCCTTCCAGTGGTAATCTGTGTAATCTTTATTGGCTGGACCTTTCTAACAACCTACTGAAGGGGCAAATCTAGGGGTGTCAGGCGACCCGAGCTCGAGTGGCTTGCTTGCGATTTGGCAATGATTTGACATCAAGCAATAAGGACGATTATAATATGGTGATAGAAATAATTAAGGATATGAAGAACAAACGGATGTTGAATGAAAGTGTTGGTGGGATTGATAAAAGACTAAACATGTCAGCTAATAATAGAATGAATTGTGAAGGTGTTGATGGTACTTCCAAAAAGGGGAGTAGTAATATTACGGGCTGTCCGCAGCAAAGATTGTCCTCCGTTGAAAAGAAAGTAATCAAAGGTTGAACAAATTATTTCTAAACTAGAAGAGAAGAAATTGCGAAAGCAAGAAAATGATAAAAATGATTGAAGGCAAAAAAATAGTAATTATAAACATTGTTGACTATTTTATTATTGTTATTCTATTTATTGATAACTAACACGGCTTGTGTTATATAATTGTATGATTGTTTAATACCGAAGCATGTGGGCTTTTTGTGGTTTGTTCAGCAGCAATGTCGATGCTTTTTTGTGTATTTCAAATGAACTTGCATGTGGACCTTTTTGTGGTGTGTAAAGATGTGTACTTGATCAATGTTCTTTTCTGCTTATTTTAAGTAAACCAATGTATTGGATTTTGTTAAATGTATAGGCACCGGTTCTAATAATTGCTTAATTTCTGGTTTATACAAATTTCTGGCACATGTTTTTGCTTTTGTTCAAACCCATTTTCAGGTATGCGGCAAACAGGTAGGAAGCTTGGATCTTGTTTCTTCATTTGCTTTTTTTTTTTTTTTCTTTGATTTGTGATGCTGTAATTTTGGGTTTATGACTTGGAGTTGACAGATCTTATGGAAAATAACTATTTAAGGAAGTTGTTGATTACCACAAAGAATGGGTCTATACTGGTCGTATAGGACATTGATTGCTCACTCGAGTTGCAAGATAGGCTTGCAGAGGCAAGGATAGGGGTGCAGGGAGCTCGTTCTAGAGCTCAAAATTGGCTCATTCTGGAGCTTGATTTCGGGCTCATTTAGGAGTTTCATGTACAGAATTACAAACTGAAATGGAAACCAATCAAATTACACTTTCAATTGAATTCAAGTTGAGATTTTCACGGTTACATAATCTAGAGGAGAAACTTGTTGATTAAGATTTTCAAGATTAAGGATCTAGTACAAAATACATATAGGGGTTGGGACTTGGGACATTGGGTTTATCTCATTCACATTCACAAAACAATGGCCAAGCCAACTGCTTCCAAATTCTAATCATTGTTTTAAAAACCGGACCGGAGGGCAACCCGTTCTGCTGGTCGGGTCACAGTTGGACCGTCGGTTGGACCGGTGATGTCATCACAATGTGTGATGATATCAGCACATTTTAAAAAAAAACTTTATCCAAAATGCCACTGGTTGGAATGAGATTGGAACACACTTCATACAACATATAATTCTTACCATCTTTTAATTTCCTCCATCAAATCCTTAACCATTTAATAACAAGTATGAAATTTCTCAAACAATAGAATTAAAGGATCTTGGGCTTTTGTGTAGCCCAAATGTAGATACAATATAGTTTCAGCCCCATTCTACAACAATTGAGACTTAAATTGGCCCATGACCAAGTAGTGGAATACAACTGGCCTTGGAAAACAACTACAACATTTCCAAGGAGCAATGCTTTAGTTTTGGGAAACACTGGAAAATTCGAAAACCAAAACAAAACAGGTTCAGCACCGATACCATGCCATTACCGGACAAAACCAATGGCTAATCAATGGGCATGACATCCCCTGTTTTTTTTCTTCTGGTGACTCATCTTCTTCATCTCAAACACTAAAAATCTGATTCTGTGGAAACAATACTCAGTCAGTTCCCCTCCTCAACATATTTTGTTGACCAGAACCAATTGAAGCTGGAGACTAGCAACTATGGAACATGAAGATCTAGTGGAGTCAAGGTTCTGCTTGGACACGCACCGGCCTTAAAGACTGAATTTCTTGATCGCAAGTTTCATTCTTGTAATCGATTATCTCTAAGTCTTCCTTTTCGTTTTTGTTTTCCATTTTCTTCCTGTACATACACAAGATGTGCATACGTTTAATAGAAAAAAAAATCATCAACGAAATTTAATGGAGAAATTTTTGAAGAGAAGCTGAGAAATCTGAGAAGTTTTAGTAAAGAAACTGAGAAAGAGAAGAATCTGAGAAACAGAGAAAGGAAATCGATGGAATGGGCTGCGGTAGTGCTATTGGGTAGGGTTAGGGGTTTTGAAATTAGACCGGTTTACCCACCGGTCCGGTTGGACCGGAGGTTCATTGACTTTATCCGGGTTTTGACCGAGTTAACGCGGTTTAATGTACAATGACAGTTTTAATGTTGACTCGAACCGGATACGTAACCGGTTCGAGGTTCAACCGGTTGGACCGACCGGTCCGATCCAGTTTTTAAAATAGTGATTCTAATTATACACACATAATACAACCTGTTGGCAAAAACAACACAAAATTTACAGCAGCCTGGTGTTCATTATCTTTCACCAATTTCTTTTACCTTTCGGACCTGTAGCAACGAAACAGATATATCATTAGAATATCAATTTTCAGGACAAAGATATTCTGCGTCTGCCCAGTAAAGAGTGAAGACCTTCCAGCAAAGTCCAGATCTAGAAACCCATATTCTGTCCAAAAATAAGTTGAATATCTAAATTTCAGGATAAACATGTAAGGTTAAAATCAACAAAGTCTTTAGTTTAAAACTCAGTGGAACATTCAACGACACAAGAAAACTAATAATACAAAGTTTTTCAATCACAATTCAACTAACAAAACAAGGCAAATCATTAGTAACATTTTCCAAAATCTGATTTCATAGATATCATCATCATCTTTTTTTTAATCTATTGAACTCCCAACAAAAGAATGGTTTTTAGTATCCTATCATTATCAGCTTAACCATGAAATCATACAAATTTATTAGCTTTACCAGATGTATAAAGAGTAGGAGTTCTTCAAACATAACACAAATTTATCAGGTGGAAACCATTAAAACTTCACAAACAAAATTTTAAGGTTCTGGGATTTTAGTATGAATTAGCAAACAAATCTTTACAAATTAAATTAAAAATGTTGAATATCTCAAACAATCAACAAAACAGCATCAACCAAACCAATAGATAACCCTAGAAACAACAAAGGAACACAGCAACAACAAGGAAACATATCTCTTCTCCACCCTCTCAAACAACATCACAAGTTCAACAACATCACAAATTCACACTTCAAAACAACATCACAAGTTAACAGTATGAAACTGATGGAACTCCCTGCAATCAGTGAACCACAGCAACACACACACAGCACACAACCAAAGAATATGCACGGAAGAGAAAGAAAAAGAAATGGCAGTTTGTATTAATTGGAACTAAGATGGCATAACATAGTAATAGAAATAACAAGCAGATTCCCAACAGTTTGAGGAGCTGGGGGCCTCCCAAACAAGCCTATGAATAATGTTCTTGATATCCCTCCTCTCTCACTTTCTTCTTTTTATAAGCCCTTAGTCAGACCCTTAACTAATTGGCAGCTAGATGTCCATTTCCATAACAACCTTCCCTTGCACGTGTCCCTTTTCATAACAGATTTCCCATGCACTAACCACCCTCCTTGCACACCTCATCATCCCCTACCAGACTCACACTTAATGTATCCTTGCCCCTCTTCCTTCCCCTGCCCTTGGAATCATAGACCTTACGTATGGGAGGTCTAACAATACCAGCCACCCAGACGAACTTCCCCCCTCCCTTGAAGTGCCACCTTGTCCCTAAGGTGGAATTGAGGAAATTGACTATTGATGACATCAAAAGACTCCCAGGTGGCATCAAAATTAGGCAGATCCTTCCATTTAATGAGCACCTCGGTGGAACCATCCAACAGAGTCTGCAGATCCAGCACTGCCTCGGGCTGAACCTGAAGTTCCAACTCTTCTGTGAGACAAGATGGCAGAGGCTGTACAGGGACTAAACTATGTAGGCAGTACTTCAATTGGGATACGTGAAAGACTGGGTGAATACGGGCTGCTGTGGGTAGTTATAATTTGTATGCCACCTGACCAATCTTCTCGATCACTTGGAAGGGCCCATAAAACCGGGGACTCAGTTTTTCATTCAATCGTGTGGCGAGAGATTTAAACTTGTAGGGCCGAAGCCGGAGATAAACATAATCTCCTGGAAAGAACTAGATGTCCCGTCGGTGGCTGTCTGCTTGGGCTTTCATAGAGCTTGTGCTACTTCCAGGTTATGTTTAAGGTCTTGAAGGAGGGCATTGCGTTCTCGGATCTGCTGGTTTACTTCATTGACCGCAGAGGGGTAATCGGTGAGCTTAAGGAGAGCTGGAGGGTCTCGGCCGTACAATGCTTTAAAAGGGGTCATCTTAGTGGATCGATGGTACGTCGTGTGTAATAACTGCTTAATACTACTATACTCATAAAAAAAACTACGAATAATAAAATACGAGTACATTAATAAAAATAGTTGGGCCCAAATTTTCTTTTATTTAATATAGATATTCTTTTACAAAAGTCAGTATCCTTTACAAAAGTTCACAAAAGTGTGGTGGACAGTGTAACTACTCCTCCTCGCCCGCCGACATCCATCAGATTGCGTCCTCATCTAGAACCTGGAAAAACATAGAAAAACAACGGGGTGAGCAAAATAATGCTCAGTAAGTAAATCCTCTACTCGACTATCCCCGTAACTCTTTCTCTTAATTCTTTCCTTACTCTCTTCTCTTCTCATTTCTGTTCTCTTTCTGTTTCTGTTTCTCATACTCTTTTCTATATACTCTCTAGTGTATGTCATGGTCTCATCTCACCGGAGGCATGGCTAGGGACTCAACCCACTCTTCGTGACTCTACTCATTTTCTCTTTCTGTGCTTTCTATTTCTCTGTTTTCCCATTCTACTCATGGGAATGTCACGGCCTCATCTTACCGGAGGCACGGTCGGGAACTCTCCAGCTTTACGTGAGTTCTACTAATTTCTGTACCGATTCGATTCGATTATGCATGGATTGAGAACCTTTGGCCATGTGAGTGTACATTCTTTCTCTCTATCTCTCGAATGTCACGACCCCTTCTTACTGGAGGCACGGCTGGAACCTCATGTTCCACTCTTCGTGATGGTCACGACCTCATCTGACCGGAGGCACGGCTGGGGATCACAAAGCACCCAATCTCATGACTTTACTCATCACTCACGGGTTCCCCATTGCACAACCTACTCTATTCTCTTCTTTAGCTCTTAGGGTAGTTGAAGCACAAAGGTCTCTACTCTTTCTTAAGCTAACACTCATAGTGTAGAAATTCTCTACTCTTTCTCAATCTACTTCTTAATGCACAATTAATGCATATGGATGGTTCATGCTCATTAATGCACTTAGGAAATGCCAATATGCAATGTTGCAAGAATTAAGGTTCATAACTCATTCTCATACTTCTCTTAGGCATTTCATCAAACAACTTATGTGCATACAAAAACTCTTCTCTAACTACAATTCTCTTTCTCTTTGTAACCATCCAAAATGGGAAGAAATTCCCTTCTATGGCCATAACTCCTATCATAGAAGAACACTTCCAAATATATACTTAATATTCTCCAAATTCATCTCAACTCATCACACATTAACACTTCCCATAAAGAGAGCATATCCAACACCACAATATAAATACTCATCTCAACTCAATTCCTCAACAAACAAATATATATCTCTACTCAATTTTCTCAACAAGCATTATTTATACATGCATAAAGAAATCTCTACTCAAGGATTTCTTAAACTTTAGCTTGAGTTGGATTTACTTACCTTGTGATGGTGTGATTCCACTAGCACTTCTCTTTTCCTTTGGTGGATGTCTTTTCTCTACACTTTTACACAATAACACAATAAGACCATAACACCTTCATAGCAAAATTTCACATCTAGAATAAAGGTCCTTACCTTAGGATGTCTTAGATCACCTTTCTACCCACAAACCACTCAAAAGCCCTTTAGAATCCTTGAAGGATTGGATGGAAAGTAGAGAGAAAATGGTGAATCAGTATGGCGGTGGAAGAAGAAGAATGAAAGGGTTTCTAAAGTTAAACACTTAATATCTCATATTTTCTCCACTCTTTCCCATTTTACCCTTACTCTTTCTTAGGAATTCCACCTTTGCCCTTTTAATTCTTTGCAAATGCACCCCTATTTAGACTATTCTCCATGCAATTTCCTTGCATTTCACTCCCCACTTTTCCTACTAATTAGGGGTAGAATGGTCATTGTGCCCCAAAGGAAGAATTCTCTAGAAACTTATTAAATTTTTGCAACTGACTCATCGCCGCGGCGAAGAACTTCCCGTCGCCCCGGCAAAACTTACAGAAACGACTCACAACTCTTAAGCCAACATCGGTGCGGTGAAGACTATTCTTCACCCCGGGGAAGACTGAATTTCAAAAATTCACCAAACCTCAACCAAAATTAGGGCAAACACTTAACCAAATCAGCTCATCAATCCAACAAGGGCCAACCAATGGAAAATAACAACATGCAAGCTCAAATGAGAACAAATCAATAAACATTCAAGCAATATAACACAATTAAACTACGTACCTCAAGTGGGGCGTTACATCGTGTTGTACCAAAATTCAGCCCATGATAACTAGTTGGGCCATTGACGGGGCTGTGAGCTACAGAAACAGCAGAGGTAAGCCTTTAGACACCTATTCACCACTTCGCTTTGGCCATCCGTTTGAGGATGGCAGGCCGAGCTAAATTTCAGAGCTGTCCTTGAGATTTTGAAAATCTCCTACCAAAAGTGACTCATAAACAATCTGTCCGTGTCTGAAATAATGGTCTGAGGGAAACCGTGAAGCTTCACTATTTCTTTGATGAAAATTAAGGCTACCTCCTTGGCGGTATAAGGGTGTGACAGAAGTAGAAAGTGGTTGTATTTAGTCAAACGGTCCACTACAACGAGTATGTTGTCAAACCCTGACACCCTTTGGTTCTTGGGAGGCCTCCGATGAAATCTATTGTCAAATCATCAAATGCCTGAGCGGGAATAGAAAGTGGCTGAAGTAGCCCTATGGGTTTCAAAGTTGAGTGTTTATTAAGCTGGCAGATGGTGCAGTTTTTTACAAAATCCTGGACATCCGTCTTCATACGTGCATAAGGACGATAATTCTTGGTTCTCATCTCGTCGGGATAGTGCATCCGCGACCTTATTTGTGGTGCCCGACAAATACTGAATGTCAAATGAATACCCTATCAACTTGGACAACCATTTCTGCTATTCTGGTGTCTTAATCCGCTGATCCTTAAGGAATTGAAGGCTTTTTTGATCCGTTCGAATAATAAACTTTCTGCCCAATAAATACGGACTCCATTTGTGTACAGTGAAAACAATGGCCATTAGTTCTCTTTCATAGACCGATTTTTGTTTAGCTTGAGGGGAAAATGCCTTACTTAGGTATGCTATGGTCGTTTGTGTTAAACCAGCACAGCTCCCATACCTTGGCCTGATGCATCTATCTGGATCTCGAATGGAAGGTTGAAATCCGGGGTTGCCAGCACTAGAATTGATGTCATAGCCTCCTTTAAGGCATGAAAGGCCTATTGAGCCTCTTGACCCCAATTAAAACAGTTTTTCTTCAAGAGCCGTGTGAGTGGTTGGTCTATGCTGCCATATCCTTTAACAAACCTGCGATAATACCTCGTTAACCCCAAAAATCTGTAGAGACTTTTCACATTGGTGGCTATGGGCCAAGAAACCATAGCCGCAATTTTTTGGGGGTCAGCCTCCACCCATGTGCTGAAATTAAGTGCCCCAGGTATTCCAGTCTCTGCTGCCCGAATGAACACTTTTTCAAATTTACAACTAGTCATTGTCACCCAAGATTTGAAGGGCTTGCCGAAGGTGTTGAATATGGGTGTCCAAGTCAATATTGTATATCAGAATATCATCAAAGAAAACCAATACGAACTTACGCAAAACCTGTTTGAAAATACTGTTCATAAGTGACTGAAATGTTGAAGGAGCGTTGGTCAATCCGAATGGCATCACCAAGAACTCGTAATGGCCCTCATGTGTTCGGAAAGCTGTTTTGGGAATGTCTTCGTCTTTGATCCTAATCTGATGGTACCCTGATCGGAGGTCCAACTTAGAGAAGATTGTTGCCCCTGCCAATTCATCCAACAGTTCTTCGATGGTCGGGATTGGGAACTTGTCGGGGACTGTTATCTCATTTAGGGCCCTGTAATCCACGCAAAACCTCTAGCTTCCATCTTTTTTCTTGACTAACAACACTGGGCTGGCGAACGGATTGATACTTAATTGGATGATATGGGCTGCTAACATTTCTTCCACCAATTTTTCAATTTCATTTTTCTGGAAATATGGGTGCCTATAGGGTCTAATGTTAGGGGCTTGGGCGCCTACTTTAAGGTTTATGGCATGGTCATGGGGATGGTGTGGAGGAAGTTTGGAGGGCTGGTCGAAAAGATGCCGATACTCATCCAAAACTGCCTGAACCTGCGGACTGATTTCTTCGTCTAGGTGAATTGGCTTTTCTTCAATTGAACAACATTCTACCAGGAACCCTCCCCCAGTGCTGTTGATGGACTGTAACATTGACTTCAGGGAGACACCAGACTTTACCAGAGACGAATCCCCTTGTAAACTGACCCCGACCCCTTCTAATTCAGACTTCATGGTCAACTTCTTCCAATTGGCACAAACATCCCCTAAGGAACTCAACCACGTGATGGCCAAAATCACGTCGGCACCCCCCAACTGAAAAGGAAAGAAATCCTATCTAATTTGAACTCCTTGCACATCTAGATGGATTTGTTAGCACACCTCTTCCCCTTTTATCGTGACTCCATTTCCTACCATCACCCCAAATCGTTTCCCTTTTTCCACTGTAAGTCCTAACCTCTCTACTAAATCCTGTGAAATAAAGTTGTGGGATGCCCCACTGTCAACCAACACCACAACCTCAGTATTACCAATCTGCCCCTTTACCTTCAAAGTGTGATCTGATGTTAGACCCACGATGGAGTTCATGGATAGTGCTAAGTCGTCACCATTTGGGCTAGGATTATCGTCATTTTCCAATGGGTTTTCGGCCTTCTCATCACTATCGTCCTCCAAAGCTAATAGGATCTGTAGTGACTTACTTCGACAGCGATGATTAGGGCCAAATTTTTCATCGCATCTGAAGCAAAGGCCCCTTTCACGTTTACTCTAGATCTTGACTTCTGTCAACCATCGGAAACTGTCACCTGATCCTCTTGGAAGCTCGTCGTTCCTATTTTTGGTGCCCTCTCTCGTTTATCGGGTGTGTGAGAATCGTGAGATGACGCGATCTGACTTGCTTCAGGTGGTTTTGTTGAGTTAGGTCACCAAGCGGGTCGGGTCAGATCTGGGTTAGAGACTAACTTGGATGGGTTGGACCACCATGCCTGTTGGTTTGGATCTGGGCTGTTGGACACCCTTGAATAATTTTCCCTGGTGACTTGGGTTCTAAACGTTTTGGGCCTCCATTTTTCCATTACCCAATTTTTTTCCTCCACACGATAATGACTTCTTGGAGAGAACTGGGCCTCAACACTCTCAACTTCGCTCTAATTTCTTCCCTAAGCCCATTGATGAAAACCCCCATTAATAATTCCTCTCCTAAATATTTCAATGCTGCTGTAAGGGCTTCGAAATCTTCCCTGTATTCAGTCACGGTGGAGATTTGTTTCAGAGCCACCAGCGCCTCGTGTGCAGACCCTTGGAACGACGGTCTGAATCTCGCGATTAGAGCAGCCTTGAGCTCTTCCCATGTCTTAAAAGGATCTCGTCCTTCTACCCACTGGCACCAATTTAGAGCCCTGCCCTCCATGCAAATAGCCGCTGCCTCCACCATCTCCGATGGTCCATATTTGTTGATAGCAAAGTATCGGTCGACGTGAAAAGTCCACCCAAAAGGGTCCTCTCCACTAAAAATTGGGAACTCCAACTTTTGGGTTTTCTTTTCCCCTTTCCCACTATCCCCGATTGTGTCTTGTTCTCGTTTGCGGCCACCACCAGAATCTGTACGCTCAAACGATGACTGGGATTTCTCTTTTTCACGGTAACGTTTCTCCTTTCTCTCGTCTCTCAACCTCAACAATTCTCTCATCTCGGTCAAGTATTCCTTAAGACTCCCCACATCAGTTTTGACTGAACTCATATCTTCTTGTACTGATTTCATCTCTTTTTCCATATTATCCATCCTATTATCCATTTTTGATTTGACCATTCCCTAGTGTGAAATATGTTGGCAACTTGGCTCTGACACCAATCTGATGGAAATCCCTGCAATCAGTGAACCACAGCAACACACACATAGCACACAACCAAAGAATGTGCACGAAAGAGAAAGAAATGGCAGTTTGTATTAATTGGAACTAAGATAGCATAACAGAGCAATAGAAATAACAAGTAGATTCCTAGCAGTTCGAGGAGCTAGGGGCCTCCCAAACAAGCCTATGAATAATATTCTTGATATCCCTCCTCTCTCACTTTCTTCTTTTTATAAGCGCTTAATCAGACCCTTAACTAATTGACAGCTAGGTGACCATTTCCATAACAACCTTCCCCTCCACGTGTCCCCTTTCATAACAGATTTCCCATGCACTAACCACCCTCCTTGCACACCTCATCATCCCCTACCAGACTCACACTTAATGTACCCTTGCCCCTTTTCCTTCCCTTACCCTTGGACTCATAGACCTTACATATGGGAGGTCTAACAGAAACATATTTATTCTTCACCCTGTCAAACAACATCACAAGTTCAACAACACAAAACCCTTAAAAAAACCAACCTTTATATTGTGAAACATATCTCTTCTCCACCCTCTCAAACAACCAACAAATCCTTACAAAAACAAAACTTTATATGCAAATATCAAAAAACCCTAAAAATTTAGACAGAAGGGTAGTTGTAAATGACTTATAAATGAAGAATGAAAACCATTATATTATGAAACATAATACATAACCCCAGAAACAACAAGGGAACACAACAACAAGAAGGAAACATATCTCTTCTCCACCCTCCCAAACATCACAAGTTCAACAACGACATTATAAATTCACACTTCAAAACAGCAACATCACAAGTTCAACAACGACATTACAAATTCACACTTGAGAACAACAACATCACAAGTTCAACTACGACATTACAAATTCACACTTCAGAACAACAACATCACAAGTTCACAATATGAAACATATCTATTCTTCACCCTCTCAAACAACATCACAAGTTCAACAACAACATCACAAATTCACACTTCACAAAAACAACATCACAAATTCACACTTCACAACAACAACATCACAAGTTCACAGCAACACAAAACCCTTAAAAAAACCAACCTTTATATTATGAAACATATCTCTTCTCCACCCTCTCAAACAACCAACAGATCCTTACAAAAACCAACCTTTATGTGCAAATATCAAAAAACCCTAAAAATTTAGACAAAAGGGTAGTTGTAAATGACTTGTAAATGAAGAATGAAAACTGTTATATTATGAAACATAACTACATAAGTGGTTGAGAGTTGATGTATTACCTCAGGATTTGAGCCAAAACAATGCATTCAAGCTTCATAAAGTAAAAAATTCATGTGATGGGAAGTTGAATTTCCACGTCTTTTTGCTTTTTCTAAGTTACATCAAGGGAACATATTAGTTTCAATTAAAAAATGAAAGTAACTACTAACTAGTAAGTGAAAATGCACAAATACTAATCACTCGTTACAATTTACACTTACTTTGTTCTTTCTATGAACTCCATTAAGATGGCAAAACCAATCACCTCCACAAAGGAGCACTTGTACTGTTTTCGGAGACAATGAGGCTCGATACATTTCTATTAGTCCGCTGCTAGCACTAAATGAGGTCTCAAAAGCCATTGTGGTTATAGGAATGGCTAGTATATCACAAGCCATCCTAGACAAGATACGGTACTTCAATGTATTAACTTTCCACCACTCCAATGCTTCAAATCTCATACAGTCTCTCTCCGCACACATGTAACAACCCTCTCACAGATAACTGTTTAACTCAGATTTCTCCAGTGGAATAGTTTGAACCGTTTTCATATGTTTTGTAAACATTGCAAAACCAGACGCATTAGGGTTTGTTTGTTCACTGCCCCAAGGAACCATTGCAGTTGGTTGTTCAATGTTTAAAGATTGAGATTGAAAATCATTGACATACTCCTGGTAAAGTTAATAAAAAACATGTTTTAACTTTCTTATTATGTGCTTCGACATGACCATACATTTAAGGTAAACAAAAGTCCAACACCACCATTTTACACCTCGGATCTAGGATAGTCGCTACACATATTAACAAGTTGCATTATCCCTAGTACTTGTCAGATTTTTGTTTCATTTTCCTCACCATCTGCCGAATAAAATCATTTTTGTCATTGACTTCTCATACAACATAACCTTAACCCAAAAAATCTCACTCAGTTGTAGATTTGTAGTTAGGTATTCACTCTTAGAAATGATACTAGTAATGGCACTAAACACCCCCAACACTTCACAAACTTGTTCCACCTTTATCCATTCCTCTACGGTCAGACAACAATTATAATGTGGGTCATTCTCTTTATACCTTTGGAAGACATTTTTAAACTTCACTGCAGCTGACAACATCTCAAAGTGGAATTCCACCTTGTTTTGCAGTCAAGAATCATCTTCTAGTTGGGCAATCGTAACATTTTCACTCACTCTGAGAAAAACAATAAGCCTGCTCTCCGTCTGTTTCATATAAGCCACACTATCATGAACATCATCAATAATGGACCTTATTTGGAACAAACCATCTTGAACAATAAGGTTCAAGATGTGTGCACAATACCTCACGTGGAATAATTTCCCTCCACAAAGCAGCCTATTGTTTATTAACAAATTCCCCTTTAAAATCCTAATTGCTACATCATTACTTGATGCATTATCCACTGAGATCATGTACACCTTGTTCTCTATAACCCATTCCTTCAAACACTTATAAATAAAATCTGCAATTTGAGAATTGGTGTGAGAATGAGCTATGTACAGAAGTTGAGAATCAGTTTCTACAACCTCCAATACCATCTATGAAATGCCTCGTCAGTACCATGTACTTAATCCTCTAATTACCTGATGTCCATAAATCTGTCGTCAAGCTTATTCTGTCAACATCCTTCAGCAAAGTCTTCAGCCTTATCTTCTCTATTTCATACAAACTAACATAATCATTTTTACATGTCCTGCAGCTAATCGTTTCCCACTCAGGATGACATACATTTGCATGTTATTAAATCCTTCCTCCTCCATAGTAGTAAAGGGATGCTCATGCATCAACACCCAATTGGAAACTAGTTCCCACATTTTCGCCATGTCAAATTTACCTTTGGTAAGAAAAGGGATCACATTGTCCGTATCACTTGGATCCGTTGCTTGGAAACCTTTGTTGTTGCCTTTCAAAGAGTTTTTGTAGTACATAAGTCTTTAAATGTCTTGAAAGGTAGTAGTGCTCCTGGTAACCGTTATTGCAAACCTCGTTTTGCAATGGATAAATTCTACCTTTTTTTGCTCCGTTTGGTTGAAGAACTCCTCTAAAATCATTCCACACCGTAGATGTCTTAGCTATCATTTTCCTTACAAAAGGGTTAACAGTCTCTTGAGTCTTTTCATTAATAGTAGTTGCAGTTGCTATAACACTGTCAGTGGGGGTAGACCTTCTACCTAAGTCGTCACTTTGAGTGTCACTTCCAACTGACTGTACCATACCTAACACCCGTGACCCTAAATAAGGGAGCTCTTGTGGAGTGGGCCGAGTGGTAGAGTTGGTTGGAGTGGAACTCGATGCCATATCTGTTGGCAAATAACAAAAACACATGATTAGTTATTATCGTAAGATGATTTAGAAACTTGGAATAAACAATTTGACAAGATTATTATAGATGGTAAAATCTATTATCAATTCAGATGGGATGAATCCTGTGAGAAAAGAGCCACTAACAACCCGATGGACTTACACAAAGAAGAAAGGAAGAACGTGAAAGCCAGATAGACACCGGTGTGGTGTCTATCGTAGACACTTTGACACTCAAGTCAGCGAGGCTAAACGTATTTTAGTGAGGGTAAAGGAAGGGAAGGATTACCGGAGTAATATGGCGGTTCTTGGGCGCAAGAACTTTGAGAGCTTAGGTGCTATGGGTGGTTTCTAAGTTTGGAGCTAGCAGAGTTACTATGGTGTCAAGCAGAGTCATGAGATCATGGTCGAGGGAGACGATTATGATAGTTGTCCATCCAGTGTCGTACTTCTTGATTCTACCGAGCCAGCCCCAACTAGGGGTGTAAATGTTGCTTTTTATTTGGGACATATGCCAAGGAACCTGATGGCCAAGCCGAACGATAGTGACTTGAGTAGCCAAAACTCAAGCACAGATTGCAGGACTGAGAGCGGGCCTAAAGTGGAGTGTGTTGGTGGGAGGGATAAGGCACCGTCTACAAACGGTGGCCATGGGGATGAGCTGAGCTGAGTTGAGCCAAGCTGACCAGGAGGTGGTATGCTGCTTGATAATCCTCCTTCACGTCAGACCCAAGAGGAGATGCTGAACATAAGGTACCTTTACAAGATCCCCAAGTCGATAGATATTCGAGCTTCCATGAGGTATGAGAGTATGGATTAATCTGTGCTGGGCTGGATCAGTATTTATGAGCAAACACTTGTAGAGGGCATGCATTTTCCTATCCCGAGGTTGGTATAGAAGGTGTTGAACCATTATTTGATTGCTCCTAGCCAACTAATGTCGAATGTGTGGAGGTTGACGATGTCTTTGGAATGCATATGCACTAGGCACAATATGGGATTCAAGGCCATGGATTTGCTTTATTCTTATTACCTGAAGGAGCACAATATAGAGAGGGGCCAATATCCTTTTATGCTCTAGCAAGGTATGAGGCATTTGGTGACGGGGCTCAAGACGTATGACAAGAAGTGGAAGGACGGGTCCTAACCCACTGCTGTTGACGTTACTTGAACCATTTATATATAAGATCCACTTAGACGATGCATGGTCGATTAAACATATGAGCTCTCTCTCTACTTGATTCGAAGTGTTAGGTGCGAAGTTGATGATAAAGTCAGCAAACACTTTAGATTTGATGGAGATGCATGGTTGTAAGGAGACGTTGAATTCGCTTAGCTTTATTTTCTATTGAATGAGCC